GCCATTGTTCGGGTGGAGGGCAGAGAGGCTCCAACATCTCATTTGGGTGAGGTGGCCTCTAGGTTTGAATTGGGTGAAGTTTGAGAGGGGGTGACCCTCAGTTTTGGCTTCTCCAAAGACTAGGTCGGCCGACCATGGCAGGGGAGGTGCTTAGGAGCTCAGGGAACACAGAGGAATATGTCACAGTAATTAAATGAGTTGAGGTTTAGTTTTGGCTAAAATATCCAAGGCTTAAGCAAATATGGAATCAAAATCCCTTGATTTAGGGGACTTTTGGTCCATGGCTTAGCTTAGGTTATTTTGTAAGGTTTAGCTTGGTCACTAGGGTCCAACTAATGGCTCTGAAGTCATTAATTTTATGACTTTGGGATGGTTAGGCAACTTTTAGTGCATGGGTCCAAGTAGGTGCAAATGACCAAAACTTGGGTTTAGGTTAGGCTATCCATGTGCTTAAGCCTAATTTATTAATGCACTTGATGTGGATGACTGTAATGAACATTTTTGGTAAAGGATAAAAAGGGTTTTGAGTTCAATTGGAGGGTCAACTTGAAGGGTTTTGGAGATTTGGTCAATTTTGGCATATTGGGCTAGACTTGGGTCTAAACTGGGATAGGCTTTCAATTTGGCTCAATTAAATGGTCAAAATTATCAAGGGATATGTTATTAATATTTTTCATGAAGGAATGGAATGGAAATTTTGGAGCTAAGGCAATCAATTTGGTGAAATTTAGAGGCATAGCTAATTTGGGGTAAAATTTGGGGCTTTCGACCTAGGTTGAAATTAAATAAAATTGAGACTTCACTAAGGCCAATTGATGGTTAATTTTGATGTGTAGGAATGTTATAAAGAGTTTTCAACATTAACCATGGCCAATTTAAGGGACTATGGATTCAATTTGGTGAAATTAGATCATGTGCCAAAAATTGGGGTTTTGACCTATATCAAAATGAGGCTTAAGGAATGGCCAATTGAGCTTGGATTTTGCCTATTTTTGTCACATTGAGAGTAAAGTTGAGTTTGGGATTGAAATTTGGGGAGATTGGGATCAAATTGATGGACATTGGAATTTAATTTGGGGAAATTTGGGCCTTTAAAGGCAATTTGGTTCTTTTAATCAATGATGGTCAAATTCGACAAATTGGATCAAGTGGTAGTTGAGAAAAATGAAATTGAGAATATTTCAAATATTTTGGGAATTTTTGGAATTTTTTGAATTTTGGGCTAAGGATGGGTATTTTGGTAATTTAACAATCCTTGGTGATTTTGGGTAATTTGGGTGTTTTCAAACGGTTTGAAATGATTTTTGAAAAAAAATGGGGTATTTTGGATAATTTCGGAATTTTGGCCAAATTTAGGGTTTCAATGGCACTTGGGTAATTTGGGGGAGTTTAGAGGCAAAAGGCGAGGATGGGTATTTTGGGTAAGATCAACAAAATAACCACCAAAAATAGGCCATGGACCAATGGAAACCCCATTTGGGTCCTCTATGTACTGTTCTTAGCTAAACCCCAGCCTAGGGCTAGTAGGTTTAGGGGACCATCTACATGAGTATCCCAAAAGTATCAAGGGATCAAAGTCAGGAAATTCTGGGCTTAAGGTAGTGAGTGATTGTGAGTGAAGTGAGTGTCTTAGCTCTAGACCAACACCCAGGGTCAACCCTAAGATCCAATAGTCCTATAGGAACTCTCCTTGAGCTCCCCTATAATGACCCCACCTACTAAGTGCTAGAGGTTAGGACTAATATGTGAAACTTCAAGTTGAGTAAAGAAGAGTTTAGAATTTCTAATGGTGAGGGTGCCTTTTCTAGTTCTCTAAGAATAGTAAATAGGAAAGTCCTATGGCTAGACCTTAGACTACTAAAGAGAAATAGTAGACCTCAACCAAAAATGAGGTCAACACTTGACATCCTAGACATCGAGACTACACCTTCCTATGACAAGTATAAGACTGAAAGCTCATTCATTATGCTTGTTGGCCATCGAAGAAGGGTATGCTTCCATAGAGAGGAAATTGTTTCTCATAAATGGTTCTAAAAAGTTGTGGGCGAGAATGTTAATATAATGTCTTAACATTGCATGCAAATTTAACAAACATATAGATGAATGACATGTAATAAGAGGAGACAACTGGATTTCTGACAAGAAAAAACCTTGGAAAGTGAAAAGGCCATGAGTTATAGCCCAGTCAAAGAAATCTACTACAAGATTCTAAATACATAGTTCAACTGTTCTCTAGAATTAGAGAAGATGAAGCTATAATGTTGATAATCATAAATGTACAATAGTCATCTTGTTTTAATAGTCGTAATTGGGCTATTATAAATGCATTTCTTAATGATAATAACAATAATTGATTGCAGATGCCATAGTTAATTACCTTAAAGACAATGGTTTACCTTAAAGACTTGAATTTGTGGTTGCATTAGAGTTAATTAGCTATGAAGGTCATAGTTGAAAGTTGCAGTAGTATTTAGTCACATAGATCTTAGTTTCTCACCGTGGTCATAATTGGAGGTATGTAACATTAACTGGATAAGTCATAGTTGGACACATAGGTCATAGTTAGAGGCTGTAATAGTAGTTAGCAAGATAGATCATAGTTGGAAGCTATAGTATTAATTAACTATAAAGGCCGCAGTTTGTCATGGAGGCCATAATTTGAAACTATAGTAGTAGTAAGCTCCATAGGTCATAGTTGTCAGCTGCAATAGAAGTTAACCACATAGGTCATAGTTGGTCACATAGTTCATAGTTGTTAGTTGTAGCAGGTGTTAGGCACATATGTCAAGTTGGTCATAGAAGGCGTAGTGAGTCCGTGCAGTAGCATCAGTTGGCAATAGAGGTCATAGTGGGAAATTTTATTTGTGTCACTCGACCATAGAGGCTACTGTTAGTAATTGCAGTAGCATCAGTTGGCCATAAAGATTGTAGTAGATGATTGTAATAGTGTCAATTGACCATATAAGTTGTAGTTGAAGGTTGTAATGACAACAAAACCACATATGTCTTAATTGAAGGCTACAATGATAGGAGTTAGCCACAAGGGTCGTAGTCAAAGGTTGGAATGCATCAATTGATTGCATAGGCCGTATTTGGAAGCTAAAATAATAATAGGCCATATAGACCATTTTAGATCACTGTAAGAGCTTCAATCGTCCATAGAGACCGTAGTCAATGATTGTAATAATACCAGGAGATCAAAGAGAGCATAATGAAAGGTTGTAATTACAACAAGTGACCACATAGATCATAGTGGAAGGCTGCAATGATAGCAATTGGCCAAAAAGGATGTAGTGGGAGATTACAATCATATTAAATTACCATATATGTTGTAGTTGGACCTACAATAGTAACTAGCAACATAAGCCATAGTGGGTTATTATAAGTGCATTAATTGATCACAGAGTCTATAGTCAAAGGATGTCATGACAATGCCAATAATTTATGACATAAGTTGAGTAAAAAGCTGCAATGATAATAGTTGGCCATAAAGAATATAGTGAGAGGCAATAATGACAACATTGTTCACTTGCCTGTAGTGGGAAGTTGTAATAGCGAATGACCACATAGACCCTAGTTAGTGTTATACTAGTCGACGGTTGCAACCCTTCACTCAGACTTATTATTTTACACCAAACAAATTTTTTGTCGCAATACAACATTTAGAAAGCTTCAGTAGTTTCAAGAAAGTCATTGTTTTTTGATATGATAGTCATATCCAATTTCATTAGGTTTTGTTGTAAGACCTTCAATATACCTTGTTTGGGATACATCATTGCACATAATTATGGAAAGATCAATACCTAGTACTTGGGATACTTTGTTACATCATATTTGGGATACTTTGTTATACCTTATTAGAGAAACTTCATTAAGAAATAAAATTCGTTGAATATAGATAGAAGTGGGTGGCCGATGGTGTTTGGTGGCGGCCGACAGATGGTGTTCAACTGTAGTCAGTGACCAAAGAGATCATAAATTGTTGCCAGGTCTTCAGTTCATAAAAGAACAATAATTTGATACCTTCTCCTCCTCCCCTCAAGTGAAGAGAGGGTGTCCATTTATAGCATCTGGCAGATAAGCATTTTGGTCATTCCGTAAATAACTTTGTTCACCCTTTACCATTGGGTTAATATGATGATTTGAAAGTCTTAACTTCCTCAAAAATAAGATAGCTTACACTAGTTGGATTCCTCTCGTCGTCGAGAAGCTCAATGTGACTATATTGATATTTCAAATTTGAAGTCTGAAGCCTCAAAATATGCTTTAATGGTTTGATCAGGACTTGCTTAGACTCAGATTGGACTAGTTTTGATATCATAAGGTCCGTCTTATTGAAACAAATATTTTGTCTATAAACTTAATTGAAATTAGAGATCTGAATGTTCTTTAATTTGAATCTAAATTCTTTTCTCAAAAGTGTCATGAGATTAGTGCCAAAAAATAAAATAAATTTTTTTTTGATGACGCATCATATCTAAATAAAAAAAATTACATTTTAAAAATCGTCGCATTGATCAAGTTATATATTTATGCAAAGAAATTGTATTAACCTAAAAAATATATTATATATATGATAAAATATTATACAGAATGCAAAAGGACATCTAGAACATACAAAATAGGATTTTATCAAACAGATAAACATAAACTCTTTGGCACATTTTAGTAAGGTAATAATCCAAAAGCTGATGTGAACCTAATTCAAATATCATATTTTATATCAAGCTGATAAAATAATAGACTAAAATTTCTCTACAAATGAGAATTATCTTGTTCAATTGTCTCCCATAAATCAAGTCTAGGAGCTCCAATTGTCTGCATGCCAATTCAAAAACACTATTCAATTCATCATCACTCTTAGTGCAAGAGAGAAGACTGATGACGAGCATCATCGAATTCCAAACTGAATTTGAAATTGGCATCGAGGATCTGTGGAATGCAATAACAAAGGCTAAATTCGATGTTCTTCGTAAAGCAGCTCCACATCTGCCGATTGATGCACAGGTTGTTGAAAGTGATGGAGGTCCTTGTCCAGTCGTCTCTATAACAATTAGATCTGGTGAGCTCCACCTCTTCTTGGCCTCTTCATCTGCATGTTTGAAGTTTATTGATTAATTCAATTTTGTAAAGTACTTTGATTCCAACTTCAAAAAAAAAAAAAAACACAGTTTGTTAACCATGCTGTAATTCCTTACATCTATATGTGAGTATTATTGCTTGCACAATTAGAATTTTTATTTGCAAAACTATTTTTTTCAGTACTACTTTGAAAAATTGATGATTTGTGTCAGATTTTATGAAATGTATCGATTATTTAGAAATATGTGCTCATTATTGGTTGCATTTAAGAGGGGGATATATTTTCTTCCATCGACACATTTTCTTTGCGCTAAACAGTTTAAATTGTTCATAATCATACAAGGAAAAATATATTTATCGTGAAGGATAACTCAGTCACTTTATTGTATAAAGTGTAGTACTAAGAGTTTGGTTTCGGGAGTAATTATTGATGATGATTTTCTCGAGAAAGAATTTGTGTAAAAGAAAGCTTGCACCTAATGTTGTCATTTCAAATCACAAATTAATAAAAGATTAAGAGAGAGATTGAGAGAGAGAGAGAGAGAGAGTAATGAACACTAGAATGAAAGAATTTCTAATGATTAGGATATTAACGGCAAGAAAACTTACAGTGAAGTAAATCGATCAGATCACGCACATATACATCAAGTAATAATGCAGTTAAAGAGCACTGTGTAACGATCGCACGAGTAAAACACTAAGAATTGTTCTATAGGCTTAATATCTAGTTTACTACACTTCTAAACCTTGTTTAGCATGATAAAAAATAAGTAGTTTTCTAAAATCGTATTCAATAGTAAAAACAAAAGATAATTTGGTTGGAAAGGATAGAAATAACAACAGGAGACAAATTTTACAGTTCTTCAAGGTATGTGTGGCTTGCACTCCTATGATTTTTGTGTTGTGGTAATTAGTGGTTTTCCTTGACTTTCTCTAATGTGATAGTTGTCAACATGGATAAAACATCTTCCTTATGCTTATGTCTAGGTTAAAAGAAGGTTAGAATAAATGAAGTTGAGGCTTTTTCAATCCCCATGACATCTTGTAGATTTATTTTGATCTCTTTTATAGGTTGCAAAACACAAATAAAATTTGTCTATTGTTACCTAGATTTTATGGTTAACTATTTCGTTCTTCTGTGTAACAGACAGGAGTCATGAATTACAAAATATATGAACATTATAATTGCTCGGGTCAAAAGTAAATAGAACTCTATGATTAACACATTAAAGAAAAGGCTTGATTCCTCAAGAAAATGATACATTGAAAGAAATCATCCAAAAAAATTATGAAATCACATACCATGAATCATAGAGGAGCATAGAAAAATGTATCTACTCATGATAGATAGAACAATGAAAAAAAATTCCCTTCAAATTATTCTTAAAAGTAAAACTAAAGTGTAAAGATTATAAAATAATCTGTTCACTCTTTCATAGCAACAATCTCCTCTCTCATACAATAATCCTCTGAGAAATAGTAAGAAAATACAAAGCAATGGGTAGGAAAAGCCCTTAAGATTAAAACACCAAGAGAGGAAGAGAAGCATATAGAAGAAAACTCTCCAAAGTTCTCTCTTTCTCCTCTCTTAGCCGTCTCTAGATATCTCCTCCTTCAAAAGATGCCCTAAGACATGCTTTCATAGTAGCAAATGGTGGGTCACAGTCAGGTCTGGCTACCAAATTCTTGTCCTTACGGCGTTGGATCAGCTTCTTTAACACAAGATCCTCAATCGAAAGGCTTCTCTAAAAATACTTGTTGTAGTAGCAATTGGTGTGTCTCTTAAATTCCTTCTATTAAAGGGAAGAATTGTTGTGGTTCTCTTATGTCAGCTCATGCATGAGTATTGCCCCTTTAGTGTTTGCCTCCTACCAGTTGGCCATATTTTCCTAATTGAAAGATGAGCCCATCTCAACCCATCTGCTAGGGTGCTTGTATATAATAGTGCTTGTCTCTTAAATTCCTTCTATTAAAGGGAAGAATTGCTGTGGTTCTCTTATTTCAGCTCATGCATGAGTATTGCCCCTTCAGTGTTTGCCTCCTACCAGTTGGCCATATTTACTATGTCTGATTCATGGGATATCATGAATGGAGTATGTTCAATCACTATTGTTGGCGCTCTTTGGGTAGCCCAAAGGGTCGACCGAAGAATATTTGCCCAAAGCCCTTTTCTTCTTCATTTTTTTTCTTTAGTGGATTTAGAATTATTTTGTTGATAGCTTTTAATTTTTTGTTAGTTTGAGGATGATGCATTGATGTAAATTTTAAGTTGATCCTCTTACTATGGTATAAGTCTTTTACACTTTGGTATAGAAATTGTATTATGTTATTGGTGATGATAACTAGAAGTAAACCATTCCGATAGATGAAGTCTATTTAGATAAAGTTCAATTGAGCACCATAGTTTTGATCCACTTTAAAATGTAGTCCATGATGACCAGATAAAATTTACGCTAACCCATTTTTGGCTGAAACAACCTGAGGATATTATGGCCCTAGACGATGAAAGGCAACAAGCTCACAATTAGCTACACTCTGTGTGTTGATGGGTGTTGCAATGGTGCATACTTACGACATTGCTCGCATCTTCTAAAAAATTTCTCCACATATTTCAATTCTCTTGGTTATTTTTAGCCTTGTCATTAATGTTTGTGCACCAGGATATTTCCCTTAGATTTGATATCACGCACTCCAAAGTTGCTTGTGTACTCTCTAGAGTATATCTCTCAGAGGGCCTCTTCTTTTTTGTTCTCTCAGCACGTCAAGTAAAGTGAAGTACCCAAATTGCAAAAAGGCTTCCCAATATCAACCATTTTTTATCTGCTTTGCATTTGAAAATCAAGCGGTCAGTGATTTCTTCAACAATCATTTTAGTCTCCAAGAAGTTGATGTAGAGACCTATCTAGCTTTTAGCTGATTTGATTTTCACCTCCATTGCTTTGGGTTCTCTAATTTTTGACAAAAAAGGTCTTTGCAGTGTTCCTCCCACCTAGTGAATGCACATGGATAGGAGATTAGCCAACTGATTGTCTTTTTTGTTAATGTGCTCAATTTTGAAGTTAGCAAACATCCAGATCTCTATTTTACCTTTGTTGAGGAATTTGCCCATCATCTCATCACTGACTTCAAATTCTATACTAGACTCTAACCAGAAATTAGGGCTTCATAGTTTCCTTATTGTTTCTGACATAAAACTCTATGATGACTGAACTATAGAGGTGCTCTGATAGGACTACTCAAAGCAAGTTTGATTCATGCTCCCATCAAGTTAGAGGCTCCATCGATGTATAATACTTAGATTCAGTTATTAGGAGTGGATCCTATTCTTGACTCCCATGAATTTAGAAAATATTATGAAAATTCTGATACTCTTTGCTTGTTGATTTTGATCTGAAGGACATATATGATGTTCAAATCACTGAGTTTCATCGCCCATTTGAGGACACAACTAGAATGCTCCAGTAGAGTGAGAATGATTTTTTTATGAAATGCTGATGATAGCCGTAATCCAATGAATTTGAAAGTAGGGATGGATCCTTCCAGCTAGAATAGTTAGAACAAACGTTAAGCTTGCTATAATTGAATAATTGATCTCGGTGCAAGTGCGTACCTGACTGGTGTAGTAAACTAGGAGTTGCTTTCCTAGTTCCTTTCAAAATAGCATCGGGCTAATGACCTCAAGTTTAACTCCAAAGTTCAGAAATAGTTCTTTCTTTGGCTTTGGGCGTTTTGGAGCAGCTGTGGTGATGCTAAGAAATTTTCAGCATTATAAATGCTTGCTCACAATCAGCTAATCATTCAAAAGTCTTTTTGTCATCATGAACATTTTTAAGAATATTATGCATTTTTTACTTGTCTTTGTAACAAGCTGCTTAAACTTTCTATCCAACCAATCACCTTATTGACTTCTTTGGTATTCCAGAGTGATGACATGTTGTTTAATGCATATATTTTTTTTAGATTGGCTTTTATCCACTCTAGTGTCATGAAATAGCAAATAAACTTGTTTTTCGATGCTCGAAAAGTGTATATTGTGGATTTAATCTCCTAAAGTATTTTTGGAGGGTATCAAATATTTGTTCTAACTATTTTATATGTTGCCCGATCGATTGATTTTTAAACAACATATCATCCAAATAAACTTCAATACTTTTTCCTTTTCACTTAGAAAACATTACATCAATAAGATCTTGGTAGGTTGCCCCAGTATTTTTTTTATCTTGAAGAGTGTTATGTTATAGCAATATAAACCATCACTAGTTATAAGGGTTGCCTTCTCTGCATCAGCTAGGTACATATTTATTTTGTGGTAGCTCGATAAAACATTATTGAAGCTCATCACTGAATGTCTGACCGCTAAGTGTGTTGACGCATTGATCCTCAGTAGTGGGTAGCTATCTTAGTTCAGAAGTCCACACATAACCTACTGTTATCAATTGCTTTTGTACAATTACAAATTGGAGACCCACATCATGTATTATAACTAAAAGAAGTAGCTGAATTCCTTTATCTTTTTCCCCTCCTCTCAAATCTATATAGCCAAGACCATTGCTAAGGACGTCATTTTCTACTTCAATGGTCGAGAATTTGGATTCATGTTCAGCTCGAGAGAGACAATGTCGAGAAGTATTATTGACATATCTACTGCTGACCAAGCAAAGACATCTTAATGCCTTTGAAGCATCTTGATAAGCAAAAATTTGGATCCAACATCAAAATTTTCATACAAGGAAAGATTTACAGGTTATCCTTTGACAATAGGAATTTTACGATTAGTCTCCCCTGGTCTTGAGCCCCCATTCAAATCGGCGTTACAGGTCGAGTGGGTCCTACTCCACACTACCAAATGCTTTGAAGTATTTGGTCTGTGAGCACCAAGTTCCTTGGAACCATGATTATCTATCCATTGCCAGAAAACTTCACTACAATGTGGCAAGTCAAGACCAAGCTTTACAACCGTTTAGTAAGAGCGACCGAAGA